AATATGTGTTTGAACTCGCTCGCCAACATCTCTTCCTTCTTTGTTTCACCTGGAGACGTCAGACACCGGCGCTGCAGGTTCAGTAAAGTTTTGCTCTGGATATGATGCAGGTATATTGAATATATCAGGTTTTTGCATTCGTAAACATTTTAAAGCTGTGAAAGAAATCCCTGCCTCTGGAAATCTAAGTCTTCTTCTTGATTCCTATTGGGCAGGAGACTCCGGTTCCGCCCAGGCCACAGTATCCGTCAGGGTTTTTGTTCAGGTACTGCTGGTGGTAATCCTCAGCGTAATAGAACGGCTTGACCTCCGCTATCTCTGTTGTGATTGGACCAAAGCCGTCATCCGTCAGGACCTGGAAGAAAATCACACGTTTTAAATGAAAACACAGAAAACCTGCTTTTTTAAAATGACTCCCAACAAAAGAAGAATTTGACTTCCAGTTGGACAACGACTCTTTTTTTTTTTTTAAGGGCTTCACACTGCAAACATGAGATGGAATTAATTTGGTGATGTGAGAGAACGTGTGTGGCTCCAGGCAGGGTGGTACCTACAAATACACACTACACACTACACACTACACACACGTACACAGAAGAATCAGTTGGTGATGACACTTTCTTCTCCTCGTGATAAAAATTACTCAACCAGATGGCGTGTGGGTAAAAGAAAAGAGAAATGAACATGGAAAGACACACACACACAGACACACACACACCAATGAAAGTTTCATTGCCGATGGAGTGTTTCTGTGATTTTGTGCACGTGTGTGTGTGTGTGTGTGTGTGCATGTTTACAGCAGAGTTTTTATTTAATCATGTCGTGGAGCTGAATTGGGTTTGACATTTACACGTTTTGCCTTTTAAGAGCCAACCTGCTGTTTGGATTCCTGGCACGATAGAAGAAGAGACGGTTCCTCTACCAAAACGGTGGATATTACCCATGATCCTCTGCATCCTCTACTTGTCTACAGTTCAGCTTCACTCTTCAAGTCTGGGGCTGATTGTGACAGTTGAAGCTGTGACTCTCAGTCAGTTCCTCTCACAGGAGCTCGAACCCACTCAGCAGAGTTACAGAGAACAGACGCTCAGAGGGTGAAGGAGGAAACTTTCTCCACGTTCACACTCAAACATCAAACTCTCTTGAATCACGCAGCCGGTTTGATTACGACAGACGGTACGTGGAAGTAACGTGAACCACTTGAACACAGTTTTTGTCGTGAGCGTATAGATTTGTGCGTTTGTCCTAAAGTAAACGTGCAGACAGCCTCAGTGTTCAATGGTAGAAATGTTCTCAGGCAGTTTGATTTGAAATGAACTCCTCGGGGAAATAATAAAAAAGTTCTCTGTCTATTTTTAGGAGCAAAAACAATCAGGTCTAAAGCTGCGATGTGTAATTTCACACATTGGTGCCTCTAATAGTTAGTGAGAGCTAATTGTTGGAAAACCATTTTAACTTCATTGACGTCAGCACACGGAAGTTGTTAAAGAACATGTCAGCAAACAAACCCACGGGGTCGGCGAAGCTTTAATAGCAGAAAATACCAAAGAGACAAAAGATGGAACGTTGGCGTGTTCGTCTTTTAATGGACAGAGAGTGTTTGCGCCCCGCTGCTTGATTCATCAGCTCCTGGGAAGATTTCCCACCACGACTGTACTGACACCACAATTTAATTTGAGTAAGTAGTGTGAAGGTAGAGCGCAGCGGTGAGTCAGGACGGGATTCTCTGTTTCTGTCGAGGCTGCACTTTGAGATTCAGGCCAGAATCATGATTTTCTACATGAAGACAAGGAAAAGAGACATTTAACAGAAGAAAGGAGAGAAAATAAAGTGAAATGGAAACGAAGTCAAATCAAGAGTTTAACGAGAAAAGACAAAGTGAGACTCTTTCCAGACATGACCACTGGAGGACGTCCACGGAATCTGACTTATATTAAATCGTATTTAAAACACAGATATTTCACCTCCAGTGGCTGTTTGTCAAGTTTCAGAGGATTTCACTGTTGAATTATTTTGTTCTCAGGACTTTCTGATGTAGAATTTCAAAGTAAAGGCCCTTGGTAATGTTCTTTTTTTCCACTGTTTTGCCTCTAAATTCATTTTCAGAGTTTGAAAATCGTTCAATGGAAGCTTCAACTTAAGTTCCACTGTTTAGGAGTAATGGAGCCATTCCCATAGACATAATCAAAACCTATTACTGCTGATTCTCACTGAGATTTTAAAAGAAGCCCGGCGGCAACTACGGAGGAAAAGTTGAGAGAGACTCAACTTTGTGCAAATGTCGTCTGACGCAATGCGAACCAGCCAATCACGCTCGGTTTGATCACGTCATCCATAAACTGCAGATAAGATCAACTTTATTGATCCCACATCGTGGAAATTTACTTCTCACTATCCACTTTTCAATCTGTTTCTCACCTTTGGATGTGAAGGACATTGACATCTCTGGCACCAGACGTGGCTTCTAGTAATAATAATGAGTTTGGTGCATACAAAACAAACAAAGGTCAGAAACATGAATAAAGCTTCAGGAGTCATTTGCAAAACTGACACTTTCCTGAGTCGACATGATTGAAAACCACTGTAACGGCTGTGAATCCAAGTTAGCTGCAATAACAGAGCATCCTCGTGATGCTAACGGCTGAAGTATTTAATGTTTAACACATTAAAGAGGACAATCCCTCTGAGATAATGAATATAAGTGGCTACAGACTCTTAAAGTGGAAACTGTGAGCTCCGACTTCAATCCAGCTCTACTTGTGATACCCAAAATGACTGCATCCTCCATTATACCGGTTTAATGGCATCCTCCCTTCTGCTGTGTTAGCAGCCTGCTGTAAATGCATAATTCACATCCATTCATTTGCATGTCAGAGAAGTAGATTGCTCATTTGGAATGCAAATACCTTGACTGCGCTGGTAAAGCGGGGACACGTGAACAACGCCGATAAGCACCCACGAGACAGAGGGAGAGAGGAACGGGGAGAGGAGGAACAGAGAAAGGTGAAGCTGCCGAGTTAAAAGCACGAGAGAGGGATTTCACAGACAAAGAAGAAAAAAGGGAAGGAGAAGAAAAGAGGGAGAGAAAAAGCAGCTGTTTGGTGTTGGGGAGCAGAAATATGAATGTTCATGAGAGGAAAATGTAGCAGGAGAGGTGAATCAACAGAGAGAGAGATGCCAGAACAATGAGTACACACTGCTTCAGCACCCACTGAGCGAGCACACATTATTACATAAAGCAAGCACACACACACACACACACGCACGCACACACACACACACACACTACTTCCATCTGCCGTTTTAGATGCAGTGCACACCCTAATGATGGGTAGGAGGCAGGAGAAGAAAAGGGAGGCTCCTTTCATGCTGCAGACAACCGCCAGCCGCCTGCAAGGTAATTATCTGCAGTGCTGTTGTACCTCACACACACGCACACGCACACACACACACACACACACCAAATTCCCCAATCACTCTCTGTGTGAACAATACAATCAAGCCAGGTGGCGAAGTCAATACCCTGACACCAAATTAACCACACTGCTCCCTCTCTCTCCTCACCTTAACTTCCTCTCCTCCTCCTCCTCCTCTATTTCACTTTGTCCTCTACGTTTCTTTGGCTCAGGCGTATGAAATGTGGCTGGAAAGGAGACAGGGACGGGGAGAGAGACTCCGAGGATCAGAGCGGATGTTAATGAGGATTCAGGAAGTGTCTGGTAGGTGTGTCCTGGGAAAAATCCTCTGTGCTGTGATGCATTTTACATTTTCACTTTGTTTGGGAGGAGGAGGAAGAAGAAGGAGCGGCCACTGCGGATGCAAAGAAAAGTGAGCGGACCTGTGAAGGCTTCATCCTCTGGAAGGATGTCTGAGAGCGTGAACTCATTTTACAGACAAGTCAAGTATACATCAAAAACTTCTCCATGTTAGCAGACGGGACACGGGCCAAGGTAAAAGGTAGTTCTTATCACACTGATGTATTTCCGAAGACGTTTCCAGACTTCAGAAGTTCTGGAGTTTGTCTTTCACGAATGAAGGACTGGACTCTGGAGTGTTCAGGGGAGAGGTGGTTTCTGGGTAGGAGCGGCAGGAGGCCGGACACGACGGTTGAATTCCACCGCAGAGATCACATGTTTTTAGTAACGGCACCTCAACACGCCATCAGACCGCTTCGCTAAAAGTTCTCGTTGTCTTTCCAAGTCGACATCTTCGTTGGCGTCTTCCACGTGTATGGCTCCTGATATATTTATATTCTTATTGGGTTTTTTTTTTCAGTTTTGTATCCGTTGCGTGTCAGAAACGAACCCACGCGCTCGCTGTGAATGTGACAGAGACAATCCGTCCATCTTTATTTACTGTCTATGAAATGTCCTCGTGATTTCTGGCACCAAAATGCTCGTATTTGTAGGAAACATGATACAGACGACCTCAGACCGAATACAAAGTTAAGAACATAAAAAAGAAGCCAAAACATAATGTGAACAAACCCCAACAGTGTGTGTGTGTGTGTGTGTGTGTGTG